CTTTTGATCTGTAAAGGGGAATGAGGTATTGCAAAGAAGAAGAAGCAACACGCGCTCTAGACAAAGCTTGACCCATTTAGCATTGAAGATCCAACATGCGCCATTGAATTTCGGCATAAAAAGGTGGTGACTGAGAGAGAGAGAGGGAAAGGCGGTGTAGTTCAAATGGATGACACATAAAAGAGTATGCCGGCGCATTTTTGCCCTAGCGCATAAGTAGGAACTTATAATTGTAACGAGAACTTTACACACAACTAATCCTATCGAACATCTATGCTCAAAAGGACAACTGGTACAAATAACATAAGACACAAGGCGAAGGTTTTTCTTATGACACTTACCAATAACGGTATTCCATTGTTGATCCATTTCGGCCCAATCGCCAAGGCATCCTTTCATGACATTCATGCAAAGGCCAGGACAAGCTTTAGATTCTTTGCCGCCAGTACAGAGCGAACAATCCCACATTCGAGCTAGATTGACACGACATTCTTTAGATGTTGAGATCTGAAAAGGAAATTTGCAGAATTAGAAAATTAAACTTTAAATTGAAAAATTTTTGACTTGGCTCTTGTAAAGAAAATTTAAAAATTGGTCAACAATGACAAAACACAACAACACATGGAAGAATTTTCTTTCTTTAGAAAGAACCACTTGGTTATAAAAAAAAGATCAAAATTACAATAAGATTAAGATGAAAGAAGACAGGAATTCATAAATTTTGGTAGATTTAGCAAGAATTAAAGAAAGTCTAGTCAAGATACTTATGATTCTCAGATTAGTCATCTCTTCGACATGAAGAGTCTGTTCCCATCTAAAAAATGTATATCTAATGATTTAAATGTAAGTTTGTATGATTGGAATGATTCAATGAAAATCTTGAATTATGTTATGAATTAGATAAATGAATGAATGAATGTATTCGTTCTTAGTCTCAACTTACAATTAGCATCTAAAATTTCGAAAAACAAAGCATACTTCTCGGTGATCATCTAACTTAATTTTCAAAACATCCTTACTTGCGCTTTATAAAATCTTCTACTTTCTAGAACCTTCTCTTATTTCCCATTGTTTGCTTATAGAAGCTCA